CGCACACACTCTCACATACACACTAACTCTCACATACGCACACAATCTTGGAGTTGTGTATAGCGAACATGACAAATGACAGCAACAGACAAACTACGGCTGTGCACCTGTGCCCTCACGGTAAGTCGATGATGGAATCTGAGAATACAATTATGCTAGGGGGCATCCCCCTTTTTATAAAAACTAGAAAAAAAATACAAGTACATAGGGAAGAGGGCTTCCAACACATCAAGTACGTAAGGGTTCTTTCACTCCGAGTCAAGCTCTCTTTGGTTCTCTTTTTCCTGGGAAGCGTCAGAGAGATTGCCAGGGGTAGCACAGCCCAGCCCACATAGTGTCAACCACATACCCCACATTGTATCGCCCAGCCCATGTAGCATTACCCACCTACCCTGAGATGTACTGCCCAGTCCACATAGTATGACCCACCCCTTGTAGTAACCCTCATCCAAGCAGCCCCGTTCACATTGTACCACCCAACCCATGGAGTATCACCCACACCACATAATACCACCCAGTCAATATAGTTCCACCTAGTGGTGCTGTGCTCTTTTTTGTGTGCTGTTGTGAGAGTCGTGTCTGTGTGTGCCTGTATCAAGTATATACCAGTTCTCTCTTTTTCGAGATCGGTTCTTTTTCTTTTTTTGGCTGGGGAAGGACAGTCCCTCAGCCCAGCCCATGTAGAGTCACCCAGTCCACATTACAAAAAAGGGAGGGAGGGAGAGAAGAGGATGTCGGGCTGGTGTCGTGGGACAAGATCAACAAATGGGTGGTGGCGGGAGGGGGAGAGGGGCGGAGGGGGCCGGGAGGGGGAGGGGGGCGGAGGGGGCCGGGAGGGGGAGGGGAGGAGGCAAAGAGGTAGCGGAGGAGGGAGATCATAGCGGGTGCAAACCAATCTCAAACCACACCGGACATTTTTCTGTAGTTGTCTGCATGGTCATACCATATCTGCACTCTCTGTACTGTGCATGTCCAGACCGTCTTAGTCGTGTGCTTAGTCTACTCTCACATACTGTCTCTGATACGTGTTTCCGTGCACGCTGGTTTTCTGGTGGCTTGAAACACATAACTTGCTGTGTTCTTCTCTTCCTTCCTGCCCTGTGTTCCTACCATATACGACTTTACCCGCTTCGCTGTGAAAGAAGCCACATCATCTCCCACTTATTCCTGCAGGACTGGTGATTCTGGCCAAGTCTTCCCTCAGCGGGAATAACCCCACTCTGACCACAGAGGGGTAGACTGTAATGATGCTTTTATCAGCAAACACAGTGTTATAGATGTAGACAGTTCTTTACCTCATTCCGGGATGCAACTTGAAGATCACCTGTTTTGGAGATGTATAAAAATGATCTGGTTGATCCCCGTGTGCTAATCCACCAACCCTACGTGGTTCTCACAAGCTGTCCCACAGCCTAACTCGGTAATATCCTGCTTGTGGGATCGTGGACCTGAGACGAGCTATTCTTTTCTTTCTTCATTCTTTCTTTATATATTCGTATCGGTCATGAGACTCCGCTTTGTAGGGGTCTGCTCAATCGACCTCTTATGGTCCGGAGGAGAAAAGGCTTTTGGGGGAGGAAAAGCGGGGCAAGGTACTCACTCTACTTAGGTATTTTATTTTGGGAAAGGGTTGGTTGGCTACCTACCACCGAGACTTCCCCGCTACATAGCGCTACCGAAGGCCTGCCGTCATCCCCGAGCACAACGAACCCTTATTTTGGCTGCACCGGACCGGAAAGATGTCTTGTATACATACATTCATTTTCGGGGAAAGACGGTAGCCGGATCGATGGAACGGTACTCTTCTTCTTTTCAATCCGTCGTTGTGGAAATCGAGCACGGACCGTCCGATAGCACATTCAATTCAGTAGTCTGTTGAGACCGACAGCACGAGTGCGGGAGGACTGTGCGAATCTACCTATGCCTGTTGGGCCCGACAAGATGTGTGGGCGAGGCCTACGGCAGCTGTGATGATGAGGGTTTGTCGAAGTCGTGCTGTTGTCAGGTAGCTCTTTCTGGGCAATGAGATCTGGCGGAGGCAATCGGACGCTGAGAATCAAGGAAAATATGAGCCTTAGATTTTTTATTTATTTATTTATTTTTTATTTTTTTTTGGAGCCTTAGGTTCCCTAAACGGTCCCTAAACGGGACACTTGGAACGCTGGCCCGCTTGACAAGAAGGAAAAACAAAAAGCCTGATTTAGTCACGCTGACCGGAAGCAGGCCATGTGTAAAAGGACTGAAAATGTTTTGGGACTTCCAGGAGGCAAGGTCCCAGTCAGGGCGTACGCACACTACCCGGTAGCTTCTATGTCATATGTATCTGACCGCGGTTACGGCCAGACCTGTATGTATCTGACCGCAATTACATCCAGAATTAGGCAAAAAAGTGGTGGTGTGAGTAATGCCCTTACTGAGATTCTGTAGCTGTATTTCGTGGCCATCGATCGTTTCAATCCACGGTGAGGAACGAAGAATCCAAGCATGCAGGACCTAACCCCGGTAAAAAGGGTGCTGCGCGGGGTCTGAACATTCCTTTCCTTTTTTTTTTGTGCTCTGCCAAAGACACCCCTTTTGCAGTCTGTAACATAACGAGCTCATAAGCCCTGTTCAAGGTGGGGGCGGTCCGTGCGGCAGGTGCGGAGTTGGGGGTGGGCGGGAGTGTGAAATGAAAGGCGCCTTCAGCAAGGTCGTTGGGCGCGGGACCGTTTCTAATTCTAACAGCAAGATTCTCAAATTCTCAAACTGGAAACTTTTTTGAGTCCGTTTCGTGGCCGCCTTCCGTGCTTTCGGAAAGACGACAAGCATGCGGGCGGGCGGGCGGGGAACCAAGAAACACCGAGAGCCAAACCGATAGGCACGCGCACGATTCCGCGGGTCGGCCACGCTTATGGCAGAAGCAAAAATGGCCAGGCGGGTGAGAGTGCGGTGGGGTGGGGTACGGTGGGGTGGGGTGGGGTGGGGTGGGATTCCGCGGATCGACCAGGCTTAGGGCATACTCACACTATGCGGTCAGATACATGCAAGTGGGGCTGTAATTATGATCAGATGCATGTGAGTATGCTCTTAGTGCCGGTGTGAGTATGCTCTATCTTATGCCCACAGGAAATGGCCAGGTTGGGCGGAGTGGGGTGGGGTGGGGTGGGGTGGGCCCGGAGGGGGCGGGGTGGGGTTCGGGCCGGGGGTTGCGTGCGCGCGGTAATCGGTGTCCGAGGGCGGGCTTCCGCAAAAAAGACCCGCCATAAGAGATCCGTTGGAGGGTCTTTTCCAATCACTTTCCGCCGAACTACCGGACTTGTATTGTAAAAAAAAAAAAAAAAAAAGAATATTGTAATTGTACACATCGATGTAGCCGTTGGCGGGCTTGATTTCAATTCCGATTTCATCGGCCGAGGTCAGGCGCACCCGAATGGGACTAGAGCGGGACTATGGCTGGGGTGGCGCGGAGGGCGAGCTGCGCACCCGCGGGCTGAGTGTCGGTGGGACTGCTGCTGCTTTTGCCGCATGCCCCGCCCGCCCTGCTCTCTCTCGCAGCCCGCCATAACACTGTAGCCGTTGCAGTGCAGCGGGGCTCGTGCAGGCACGGGCGTTGAATTGAAGATGGCCGAAATTTTTTATCACACTCGCTTAAAAGTCACGTACGTCAGTCGCTCTCTCATCAAACACTTGAAAGGCAGCTACGCGCTCCCTGTTCTCACGCTTCGAGATCCCATTCTTTCGGTCGCTGGAGTGTTCTATAGTTGTGGTCGTGTTCCTGTAGCTCTCGATCAGATAGGCGGCCAGGGGTAAGAAGCTCACGTTCAGCAGCCTAGGGGTGTGAAGGCCAAGCAAGTTGTGGTGCAAGGCGTTTCCAGCCACCCCCTCCTCCTGTCAGACCGGTCTCTCTCTCTCTCTCTCTCTCTCTCTCTCTCTCTCTCTCTCTCTCTCTCTCTCTCTCTCTCTCTCTCTCTCTCTCTCTCTCTCTCTCTCTCTTCAAGGACACTCTCAAAAGTTTTTTATGTCGACATGTCTTGGTACGCACATCGACCTTAAATTCATCAGCGTGGTTGATCCGCTTAACGTTGCGTCCGATGTGTGTAGTTGAGATGGTATTCCACCCCAGTGGACGTGTATACAAAGACGTCGTAGCTTTCCTGTAATCCTATGTACACTGGCGAAGGTAGAGAGAGAGAGAGAGAGAGAGAGAGAGAGAGAGAGAGAGAGAGAGAGAGAGAGAGAGAGAGAGAGAGAGCCGTCTCTCTGCATGGCGGAAAATCGTTGTCCTTTGTAATTGTAATCAGCCAACAGCCGGTACTCAAAGCACGCTTCAGGGAGAAAACAGTCGCTAACTCAGAGCACACTTCAGGGTGAAACTCCTTGTTCGTTAAGTTCTTTCTGTTGCAGTGGAAGTCTCGTCTGGCTTGGATATGCACAACAGCACGAGTCTAGTAGAAAGCGTCTTCGGCGGCTTCTGAAGTGTCTTTGTTGGGTAATTCACCATCTGAGATTTATCTTGGCTCTATCGAGTTCCTCCGTCCGCTGCAATGGCGTTTGCTGGAACTAAGGTGAGACTTTTTTTCACTTTGTGACGTCGTCGTTCTGCCCAGAATGAAACTACAATTTACTAATACCTCGTTATTCTTGAGGATGCATTAATTTAGCATGCGTCTGGTTCATGAGATCATTTGTGTGGATTCATTTTGTTATCCTGTGTTTCCGATCTCAATCGTTGTGAAAGCTGATGTCTGAGATGATATTCCACGCCATCTTTGATATGAAGACAGCTTTATATGGAGTCCTGGCTGACTGGGGCATATATGATATGAAGATAGCTATTCTTTTGATGTTCATGATTAACTTATGGGTGCGGTGCAGTCCTGGCTGAACCCTCAAATTGAATGATACACAAGATTCTGGGTATGCAGTGCCAATGAATGAAGGTGTGATGGTGAATTCGTTCGTTCTGTGGATTGATATGGTATGGGAATTGTGATGTAAGAGTGAACTGCTGCTGCCGTCTAGAATACACACGATGTAGTCCTGATTTATTGTGGTTTCTTGGTCCAGTTCCCATGTGGACAGAGCATAATCTGTCGTTGGGAACTCGAATATTTTCTTGATTGCTTTCTTACTGCCGAATTTATTCCCTTTGCACTTTCATGTCCTCGCTCTTTGTCCTGCTTCTCTTCTATGCCCTCCCTCTTCCGTGTCCTACCTCCGCCTCCTCCATGCACTCTCGATGACTCTTGCAGACTGTTTTTCTGCATCTGCGTTCCCCTCTACCTTCCCTCTTCCAAATTCTTCTTCCATACCCTCTCTCTGCCTCCATGACCATTCTCTGCCTCCTCTGTGCCCTTTTCTGCCCCGTCCATGCCCGTTCTCTGCCTTCTTTTTTTTGTCTTCCTCTTCCATGCCCCCTCGACCTCGTCTATGCTCACCTTTGCGTCCTGCTCGCCTTTACTCTGTCAATCGTCTTTGCCCTCGTTCCCTCTGACCGTGCTCTCACCTCTATTACTGTAATTCCCTTGCTCTCATCTCTTTATGCCCTTGCTGTCGCTCGTCTATGTCCTTTCTTTTTTTGATAAAGCAGGTTATGCCTACGAGGGGAAGCTCGTCTATGTCCGTACTGTCCCTCAAATCCGCATGTTTCTCTCCATTTCCCGGTCGTTGCTCCCACTGTTCCCGGTCGTTGCTCCCACTGTTCCCGGTCGTTGCTCCCACTGTTTCCGGTCGTTGGTCCCCTTATTACATGTTGATGCTCCCCCTCTTCTAATGTATTTGCTCTCCCCCTTCTGATGAAGTTGTGCTTCATCGGATCGCTCTGGTCTCCTCCCTTCCGTCCGCCCTGTGCCCTTCTCTTCCCCATCCCCAGCCCTATGTCCTCACTTCCCCGCCCTGCGCGGTCGCTCCGGCCTCTGTCCTGTGCTCTCTCTCTCTCCCCGTCAATCTGGGGACTTCCACTCCATGCCCAATGGTCTCTCTCCCGGACCCAGGAATGTCTCCTCCTTGGCCTGTGATGTCCTTCCTCCCTCCGTAGTCTCCTCTCTTTACCATCTGACCTTTCCCTTCTACCATTTGATCCCCCTCTGACAGGTCTCTTTCCCCCGCCCTCTGGTCTTCCTTCACTTGGGCTCTCTCCCCGGCGACCTGGACTCTCCTCCGCCGTCTGCGCTTTCTGCTCCCCATGTGGCCTTTACTGCAGCATGTGCGCTCTCTCCTCCGCCATGTTTGCTGTCCCCTCCACCATGTGGGTTCTCCTGCGCCATGTGCTCTCCGCCGTGTGGGCTCTCTTCGCTGCGACGTGGCCTCTCCTCTGCCAGGTGGCGCCACATGGCTCGGGTCGTACGCCAGTTGGCCTCTCACCCGCCACGTGGCCTCTCTTCCACCGCGTTGTCTCTGGTCGTGGCTTTCGTTCTCCGTCACGTGGCCTGTCTCACCCGCCACGTGGGCTGTCTCACCCGCCACGTGACCTGTCTCACACGCCACGTGGCCTGTCTTATCCTCCACGTGGCTGCCTCTGCTCGTGGCTTTCCTTCTCCGTCACGTGGGCTTTCACCTCCGCCACGTGACCCTTGTCCTCCACCGCGTGGCTCAACTTCGTGTCCTTCCCTTACGGCCATCTGGCTACTCTTCGACGCAACGTGGCCTGTTCTCTGCCACGAGGCCTCTCCTCCACCGAGCTGGCCTCTCTCCTCTCCCGCCTGGACTCTCCTTCGCCACGTGGCCTCTTCTCGGCCATTTCACCCTCTTCTTCACCACGTGCCATCTTCTCGGCCATTTCACCCTCTTCTCCACCAAGTGGCCGCTCCTCCCCGATGTGGCGTCTCTCCTACCCCACATGGTGATCATCCGCCGCGTGGCCTCTCCGCCCCCATTCTGTCCCTCGCCCTGCGTTGTCCCCTGCCCTGCACTTTCCCCCGCCTTGCTTTCTCTCTCCTTGCTGCGCTCTCTTTCCTCATCCTGCCTTCTTAACTTTCTCCACCATCCTGCGCTTTCTCCCCTGTCTTCCGCTCTCCCCCGTCCTGTGCTCTCACCTGTGCCCTTCGCTCTCACCCGCCCTGTGCACTATGGTCTCTCCCTCGTCCTGTGCCCTGTGCTCTATCCTCCGCCTTGTACCAGGTGCTCTCCCCCGCCCTGTGCCATGTTCTCCCCGCGCCCTGTTATCTCTCCCCTGCGCACTGCTCTCTCTCCACCACTCTGTGCTCTCTCCCCTGGCCCTGTGCTCTCTCTCCCCGTCCCTATGACCTCTGGAGTGAGCACGTGGGCGATGTCTCAGGCGCGCTTGCGGGTTTGGGGGGCACTCTGCGGATTTGGGGAATAATGCATTGGCCGTGCTTGTCTTCAGCTTTGATCGGCACCATCATCGTGTGTACCTAGCGTGCGGTTCACCGTCGAAGGTTGATAGTTGTCTCCAGCCAGCCCATACACTGATGTTCACTAGGATCATGGGGAATACCGTCAAGACTGGCCGAGGAAGCTGGCGCTGTATGTGTGTGTATGTGTGTGTGTGTGTGTGTGTGTGTGTGTGTGTGTGTGTGTGTGTGTGTGTGTGTGTGTGTGTGTGTGTGTGTGTGTGTGGGTAAGTNTGTGTGTGTGTGTGTGTGTGTGTGTGTGTGTGTGTGTGTGTGTGTGTGTGTGTGTGTGTGTGTGTGTGTGTGTGTGTGGGTAAGTGTGTGCGTGTGTGTCGGTAAGTGTGTGTGTGAGGACGCAGACGAACGTAAGCTAACAGCTCAAGTTTCTTCCGTGGGATTGCTATGTTGTATCAGGACAATGGGGTTCCGTCTGCTGGCGTGTTTGACGAGAACAAGAAGATTGAAGTTAAGGCCATCAAAGGTGAGGAAGGATCTTACCTCGCATGGCATTTTTAGCTTGCGAGTTGTTTCTGGGTTGTTCATTTTTGCGAAATTAACGTCTTATGTCAATGTCCATGGGATTGTTAAATGTGTTTTCTGTGTCCATGCGCTATGCACCCACTCGTTTTTTACATAGTGCGCCTGATTCGCGCACCATATTTTGACCAGATGCTAATATCGGCAGTTCTTTTGACAAGTGTGTGTCATGTTTGCGCAGGGCCATGGTAAACCTTCTCTGTATGGCTCGGATTTTTTGATCCGGACTGTGCTTTTCGAGTTGTCGCTCGTTGGTAGTACATGTGTTGTCTCCACGAATTAAGGAGAATGCTATTATAGAAATGGCATAGCATGTTCAATTGTACTTTTTTTTTTTTTTTTCCTTTTTTAAGGACTCCCTGCAGATTACTAAGGGTGCTGATATGAGCAGACACCGCTACAGTCTTCCCCCGAATACAACGTACGGTCATTATAGCCGAATTTGGCGTATCTGTCGGTCTAAATTCAGCTATAATGACCGTACGTTGTATTCGGGGGAAGACTGTAGTATCTTGGGGGAGGCTCCATTAATTGATTAGAGGAAAGGGAAAGGGAAAGTGATAGATAGAGAAAAGATTGTCTGACCTCGTTAATGAGGTGGACGTCCTGTTTTGTGTTTGTTGACCACCCTTATAAAAACATAATGAAAAGTGCAATTTTCGTCCTGTCTTGTAGTATGACTTACTAATAATGACACCCTCTCTTTGGTACCGAGATGGGTTCACAGTCACACCTGTTGTCCACCACTTGATTGAGTATTCACTGGATAGAGTAAAGATTGTCTGCTCGTCAATTATGTGGCCGAAAGTGTCTGTTGACCAGTCGAATTACCTGGTCTTCTTGAGCCATTGGTAGAATGGCTCACATCTCTATGCACTGTTACAGTGGGACGTGGTAGCATTGTGCAGGCATGAAGAATTAAAGACTTTTTGGATGAAGCTTCTTTTTGAAAAAAAAAAAAAAAAGCTTGTTAGAAAAAAAAGAAAAAAAAGAAGCTTCTTGTTGTAGAGGGCGTGTGCCAGCTGCCCCCTCATCTGACCGTTTTTGTCTCGTGTGGGTTTTGCAGCTGCTGGGCGTGTGATTACACAGAACCAGACGACTGTGGCAAGAAGAAGAGCTCTTGGTGATATTGGCAACCTTGTGCGAGCTATCCAGCAGGGGCAGCAGGGGAAAGGCAACCTCCAGCAGGGCCAGCAGGGGAAGGAAGCTGAATTGTGGGTAGTTCCTGTTCGTTTGATCCCTACTTGTGCAACCATATTATTGCAGTCGCAGTGGGTTTTCTTTTTTTTTTTTTTTTTTTTTTTTTTTTTTGATGAGGCCGGCGCAGTGGGGTTTCCGCTTTCGGTTTGCCCTGGACCAGTGAGATGAGAATGGTTTCCCTCTTGTACGATTTCAGAAAAAAAAAAAGAAAAAGAAAGAAGAAAAAAAAAGAAATGACGTGCTTACCAACGAGGAAGTGTTCTTCGTTGGCTTTATGTTGCGTGGCTTGTCCTGAAATTTGACTGGGTTTGTGGGTTCACTACCGTCTTCACCCGAATAGAACGCCCGGTCATTATAGCTGCATTTGGCACAACTTTCAGTCCAGATGCAGCGATAATTACCGGGCGTTCTATTCGGGTGAAGACGGTAGTTTTTAACGTCGAATTGGCACTGATTTGCTGGTTGACAAATTGCGACGCAATTGTTTTCCTTGGCTTTATCTTTTTTTTTTTTTTTTTTTTTTTGAAAAAACAACCCGAGCGGCTGCTCTTTCCTTGGCTTTGTCTTGCTCGTGTTATCCTGAAATTGACTGGGTATGGTGGTTCATTTTTCTTTAGGTCGAATTGGCACTGACTTGCTGGTTGTCGCGCTTGGTTTCAAAATTGTGTTCAGGCGTGACGAGCTTCCAAGTGGAGAGAGTGCAAGCGACAAGCCGTCTGTCCAATCGAAGCCCATTCCGATTCCACAGCCTACCACGGTGTGTCTCTTCATCGCCTGTCTAGTTTTTCTCTCAATCTATGTCAAATTCCGTCTCAATTTGACAAAATTTTGATGCCAAAACATGAAGAAAGCCAATATAGACGCTAAAACATGAAGAAACCCAATTTATTAGATGCTGAAAAGTGAAGAAACCCAATTTTAGATGTTGAAAAATGAAGCATATGGCACATAGAGTGGGGAAGGCATGCGTGTCTCAGCGTCTTTTCGATCTCGCTCACCATGTGAGGCGGGTTTGTGTCGTCTTATCTCGACAGGCTGCGCATCTTCCTCCGGTTCGGCAGTGGGGAATGACCAGGCCACGAAGCTATGGGTCTAAGCAGCTGTCGTGCCAGGGGGCTGTAGCGCCTCGCCTATCGAGGCTCTCTCGTACGTCAGCAGCTGTCGTGCAGGAGAAGGGAGAGCTGAGCATGACAAGCTTGCTCACTGCCCGGAGTGAGGAGGCGTGTGGAGGATTCCACGACATAGAGGAGGGAGAGACGGCGACAGATATCGACTCCAATGACAAGGGTGACATCAGGCATGTTGTCGACTACGTGGAAGACATCTACAGCTTCTACAGGAAAGCAGAGATACACAGCACTGTGGCAGCAGACTACATGACAAGTCAGGACGACATTAATGAGAAGATGAGGGCAATTCTTCTCGACTGGCTTGTGGAGGTATGCACGGTGTCTATCCCCTCTGCCCCAAGCCACAGTTTTAGCGGAAGCGTAGAAATGAGCATCGTATAGGCTTCTTTTTTTTTTTTTTTTTTTTTTTTTTTTTTTTTTTTTTTTAAACCGCCCCCACCGGTGTTAGGCTTCTAAGTATCCATCTGCGTCTTTGTGATTTGGGGTGCCTCGCTGTCATATGTATTTGTATCCTGCAGAGATGGCGAATTGTATAACCCTGTGCGATGACCTTGTGTTGTTGTGATGACTGCCCGCTACTTATCGCTCCCATTGACTGACCAGCAAGTGAATTTCTGCTCCCATTGACTGACCAGCAAGTGAATTTCTGCTCCCATTGACTGACCAGCAAGTGAATTTCTGCTCCCATTGACTGACCAGCAAGTGAATTTCTGCTCCCATTGACTGACCAGGAAGTGAATTTCTGCTCCCATTGACTGGACCACGCGCAGGTTCACTTTAAGTTCAAGCTTCTCCCGGAGACGCTTTACCTGACGGCCAACCTCATCGACAGGTACCTTGCAAAGAAGCCTACAGAGAGGAAGAACTTGCAGCTCGTCGGCATTACTGCTATGCTGATAGCCTCCAAATATGAGGAAATCTGGGCGCCTGAAGTCCGCGATTTCGTATATATATCAGATAAAGCATACACTAAGGCCGCTATCCTCGACATGGTGAGTACTTGGTAGCTCTCAGCGTGGGACAACATTTACCCATTTGCCAGTCCTGGTGGATACTTGGCAGCTTTCAGCATGGGACCACATTTGCCCATTTGATATATACCCTCGTCGTCTCCTCTGCGTTTACAGTCCGTCAGTCTGTGCTGTCTGCGCTTTGTTATCACGCCCCCTCTCAGGGTACATTATCATATTGAACTCCGCTCTCTCCGTCCGTTGAGCGCTTGGTAGCTTTTAATGGGAAGCCGCATTCATACATGGTGTTTGCATTCCGCTCTCTCTCTCTCTCTCTCTCTCTCTCTCTCTCTCTCTCTCTCTCTCTCTCTCTCTCTCTCTCTCTCTCTCTCTCTCTCTCT